CTTTTCCACACCAGTCCCTGGAGTCCAACTCAACCTGCTGGCTGATGCATGCGTAGATCTGACCTTGTGCTCCAAACGCTCTGAACACTGGAGGAAGTGGAAAAAGAAACAGGTCAGCTTGGGAGTGTGTGTATTACCCCTCCAAACATTAAGACAGAACATACCAAAATGTGATTGCAAACTATCAAGTCCCAACACCATACTTTGTTTTTAGGAAGACAGAATGGGTTTTCAAAAAATAGAGTCAACAATATGCCTGCGACAGTGCCACAGTTTCCAAAGTTCCTGGCGACAAATTAGATTAGCTACACTCTGGGAAACTCAGCAAAAGCTGATTGACATCTAATGCAATTTTTCTCAGTGTTACAGCAGAGTAAGTGGCAGGCACATGGCGAGAATGAGGGAACATGGCTGAACATATGGCGCTGCAGCACTTTTTTATGCGTGGGATCGCAGATGAATATTGAACAGATATATCTGTGGCAAACCCTTACTGTAACCTGACTGTATCTGAGGTGGGCTCTCTCCCAGTGGAAGCACATCTCAGCTTGGTCATTAACATTAAACTCTCCACATCAAAAGTATCGAAAACTGCTACATTTGCTGAACGAGCATTGTATTGCTGCTAATCTGCTGAAGATAATGAATGAAACATGACTTGTTGATCCGTTCAAGCTGCGAGCACTAAAAGTAAGTATTGCTCGGTTTTTAATGGTCATGTGCTGAGATAAGGAAAATTTGTTACATGCTTGTCTTGGGCCCCGGCAATTAGGCTCTGCCATTAACCATTTGTAATACGCGCTGTTCCTCGCCTTCAGCTTGGCATCTTGCTGATTACAACGCGCTGGATCAATAATTAAACAAATTAAAGTGGACTGCTAGGTCAATTTTCATCCCATCTTAGCCAGCGGCTGCAGCAATGTCATGCAAAACTAAAAAAAAAATCTTGAAATGCAAAATGCAACAGTACAAAATGAAAGGCTGCCAAAAATGTCAGGACTTCACATTTGTTTGCAGGGTTCTGTTCAACGGCACAGATTTACGCTATGCTCTGCCACACTGATGTGACAGGGTAACAGAAGTCCTTTGTGTCAGAGCAGGTGGTAACTCTTCAGGTGCCGTCAAACCTGTGACTTTAAAGACTTCATACAGGTCAGGCAGTGCAGTGGCAGGTGACTGTTACAGTAATGTAGCCCACTGTTACTGGCAGAGGGGAAAAAAACAGATTGTACTGGACTGTCAGTTGTGTTCTACTGTACTTCTTACTTATATAAGGGTTCAAGTAACAAGGACACACATCAAAATGAAGTAAATGTGGGCCTTCTTACTATCTCAAATAAAGGGGCTTCTAAATTGAATATTGACACACATGGTTACTGAATGGGCCTACCAGGCACAGGCCCAGGGGCCCAAAGTGTCAGAAGCCCCCTTGCTTTCACCTGCAAAATGTCACACAAATAAACATGAACTGACAAGGAAGAGACTGAAAATGACTACAAAGTGACACAAAACGACCAAACAAGACACTAAATAAACATGGGGAGATACAACATAACAAAAAAAGACTCAACAAGACTACAAAGAGACACAAAATGACTGAAAAAGGCTCAAAACAATAACAAAGACACACAAAACAACTACAAAGAGACACAAAATGTCTGATAAAGACTCAAAACAACAACAAAGACACACAAAGCAACTACAAAGAGACACAAAATGACTGAAAAAGGCTCAAAACAATAACAAAGACACACAAAGCAACTACAAAGAGACACAAAATGTCTGATAAAGACTCAAAACAATAACAAAGACACAAAAAGCAACTACAAAGAGACACAAAATGACTGAAAAAGGCTCAAAACAATAACAAAGACACACAAAAAGACTACAAAGAGACATAAAATGTCTGAAAAAGACTCAAAACAACAACAGACACACAAAACAACTACAAAGAGACACAAAGCAACTACAGAGACACAAAATGACTGAAAAAGGCTCAAAACAATAACAAAGACACATAAAAAGACTCCAAAGAGACACAAAAAGACTACAAAGAGACACAAAATGTCTGATAAAGACTCAAAACAACAACAAAGATACACAAAACAACTACAAAGAGACGCAAAAAGACTACAAAGAGACACAAAATGACTGAAAAAGACTCAAAACAACGACAAAGACACACAAAACAAGTACAAGGCAACACAATCCACCAATATGTCTATGTGTTCTGCTTCTATGTAGGAGAGGCCTTTTGCATATCTGTGCTCAGAGGCCCATTTTCTTACAGTCAACGCATGCTGACACTCATATGACCCATTTACTTTTAGTAAGGAAAAAAGGAGATGGAGAGGTTTTATATTGTTATGTGAGGGACTTTAGAACTATTTGGTCAATGTGATGAGGACAGCAGACTTATGTAGTATTACTATTACTATTTATATATAGTTTTATCAGGAAATATCTTACTTGTAGCCATCGGAAAAAATCTGAGCTGGCTGAAAAGGAAATACGTCACACATTTCCACATAAAACGCACCATTACTGTATTTAAAAGTAGTGGTTCACCTTTTTAGATTGTAACCCTTAAAAGTGATCAATCTCTGCTCAGAAGCTCTTGTCACAGATGATATGAGTGGTGAGACAAGAGTGTGTCCTTCTCATATTGCTTCATTTTAACAGTTTTTAGAAGCTTGACGATGTAAAACTATTAAGTGTTTCACAACAGGAGCAAAGATGAATGAGAATCTGGGGAAAAGCAACTTATATTGCAGGGATACATTTATTCTCTTATGATCGTTATTCTTTTATACTGCTTCAGGGGAAAATTTAGATGGACCCTGAAATGTGTTATTTTAGAGATGATAACCTATATCTATATTGATTATACCCGTTGATTGTTTTTTAACGTATCCTTTCCCTGCATTGTAAAATCGAGCTCAAGTTCACATGAAGTTCACTTTCAGTATTTTTCAGCACCTGTGTCCTCCCTCCATTCCAATGTGATCCCTGTAGCCTACGAGTGTTGACCATTTCCCTCGATGTGCGTCTGATTTAATAGCGCGAAAGCCGCGGGGGTGATTACGTAACACTCTTTTTTTAATAATTTGGAAACACTTCACGTCCCTTTAAGCGCCTCCATCTCCCAGTGAAGAGTTTGACCATAGCCGCCATGAGCGCACAGCATCTCCATCAGACTGTGTGTAGGCTACAGCGCCCCAAACTTTGTTCTCCTTCGACAATCAACACCTCCTTCTCTTCACTGCTGCTCTGAGGTGTGGAAGACACCACACACAGTCTGTAGCTACATTCACACACTTCTGCGAAAAACGACGGGTCCTCAGAATAGAGTAGGCCACATAGGACTCTTCCTACGTGTTTGGGCAATCGTGAGTAGCCCATTGTACTGTGACCTCATCGACAAGCAAACATTGTAAAACCACGTGCCTCGGCGCGGGGTGGGGATGGATGGTTTTACGGTGTGAGAGTGAGGTGGTGGTGGGGGTGGTGGGGACTCCGTGGGACAGACTCCTGTGGAAGGTGGGGAGCAGATTTCATTTAAGGTGGACCAACAATTTCGCTTCATAATGCTTACAATCCCTGCGCATGAATTGTATTGTTAAAGAATTCAGGTTTTCATTTGTAAGTAAAAGAAAGTGTAATTTCTCATTTTAAAATGCACATAGTCGTGTACAATTTTGTGGTACTGTGCGTATTTGCATGGTATGCTATATTATACCTACACCACATTTCAGAGTAACATCCTACTATAATATTACACCATAAAAAGAATCCACTGGTTCAACTAAAAAAAAGATTTGCATACATCTTTTAAAGTATTTCCAACTCTGGCCTTACTGACTAAATCCTGAGTCTTTTATCATCTGACAAACTAAATTAGTTCAGTATAACCATCATGATTTGTTCCATTGATTTGAAGTTGTTGTTGATATTTAGTGGTCAAACTATTTCAACTTATTTATTTTGATTCCATCCCACTCATAAATGTCAAAAATGTTTTTAAGTTTGACCAGCTTCTTAAAATAAGTTGCCAGCTTATTAAAAATATTTAATGAAACAAATATATTTTATGCTGAAAAGTGTCTTTATTTTAAGTGTTATACACTAACCACATAAACATTTTTAGAGTGTAATTCCACCACATTTAACAGTTAAAACTTGCTATTTTCCATGTTTGGGAAATTTTCATAAAAGTACAAGCAGCTTTAAAAATGTTGTTCATTGTTTAGTAAAACTACCCTCTTTATAAAGTCATTTTAATATGGAATCTTATATTTTATTTTAATAAAAAAGTGTGATTTTTAACTCCAAATTGAACTTTCTTTATTATTATTATTATTATTATTATTAAGCAGATTAAACCTGCTTTAAATTACTTGTTTCAAGTTTATGTAAATTAAAAACTTTTGTGTGCAGCAAAACTGATTTTTTTTGGGACTTTTGCTACAGTCAGAAATATCTGTATGACTGAACAGCCCGATATAAACCAGTTAAATCAGCTCCACCGTGACTCCACCAACTTTAATTAGGCCTAAAATGCTCTTCACACAATAATGCATCAGTGTTAACAATCCAGTGTGTGACACTATGAAAAGGCATGAGTGCTTTTACTTTCATCAAGTAAAAGGTGTTTTGCAGACAATACTAAAGTAAGGGTTTTAATGCAGGACTTTTATCTGTAAAAGAGTAGATTCTTGTGATACTTAAGTAAAAGATCTCAGTACTTATCCTGCCCTGATAAAGTCAAACAAGGAATAAGAACGTCATATGATAATGTGAGTTTACATTCTGTCTGTTCGCACTTCCAAAACAGACCTAGTCTAATATTCTACAGTTTCCTTTACTACACTGACACGGTGTCGGCGCTCTGTGCTACTGACGATCCCGGCTGTGTGGGTGCTCTGTAAACAGTGGCACGATCTTAAATAAGGGGCTGGACTCTGTAGGTACAGCAGTACCAGCTGCCTCCCCTCAGTGATGCAGTGAATCTGCGCTGCGTTGTGTCCGCTATATAAACTGCACTCAGCGAATAGAGCTCACAGCTTCAGTGGACAGCTCCGTGGTGCTGAAACCTCAGAGACACCACACACACTCAGTCACTCTCTCCAAGCCGCGATACATGACTGGAACCATGGACGGATTCTCGTGGAAACTTTTTCTACTTTCTTGCCTGGTTGTTTTGGAGAACTCTGCGCAAGACTTCGGACAGACGCAGTTTATTTGCACGTCGGTACCCAAGGATATGGACTTGTGCGCGGCCACGATGCAGAACAGCGGGCCGGCGGAGGACTTGAAGACCACGGTCATGCAGCTGAGGGAGACCGTACTACAGCAAAAGGAGACCATTATGAACCAAAAGGAGACAATCAGGGAGCTAACGTCCAAGTTGAGCCGCTGCGAGAGCCAGAGCCTCCCGGCGGCGGGACCAGGCGGAAGACGGCCGGGGTCGAAGAACACGATGGGGGATGTATCCCGGGGCACCACGGACACTCTGGCTCAGCTGGGACAGACTTTACAGACGCTGAAACAGAGACTGGAGAATCTAGAGGTAGGCAAGCAGAGGAGAGCAGCGCTGAAAGGGTCAAAAGTTAATTAAATTAGCCTCCCTGGTTGTTCATTAGAGTGAGGATGAAGCCTCTAACGCACTGCTGCAATATAGTTCTGGCTGTCCGCATGGAGCCACAACATGTGTTTAGTTAAGAGTCGGAGAGAAGCATCATGCAAAGTAAACAGGGCAGCTGCCTTTTGGATAATGTGGCGCAGGGCATAAGCTACACACACACACACACACACACACACACACACACACACACACACACACATACACACAGACATAACCTAAGAAACACGGTTAGGGCACGGCTACAAGCTTCACATAGAGTAGAGGGGGCATGTTTCAGGGAGTTTAATACCAGAGAAAGTAGCCTATTCCTTGTGCTCCTGTAATCCAGTATCTGTGTCCTTCTATCCGATGCAGCAATACAGCCGAGGGAACAACACCGTGCAGGCGAACAGCCTGAAAGATCTGCTCCAAAACAAGATAGACGACATGGAAAAGCAGGTTCTGTCCCGGGTCAACACGATAGAGGAGACCAAACCTGCCTCTAGGAATGACACCGAGCAGCGGAACAGAGTGGAGTCCACGCTCACCTCTCTGCACCATCGGATCACAGACCTGGAGAAAGGTGCGTTTGGATTTTCATGGCGAACAGAGCGCGCGCACTTTGACGGCGTTGAATGTGGCTCTGCGGGAGTTGTAAACAAGATTAGGCGCGATTTAATCGGGTTTGAAACTCAAGGGAATCTCTGCGGTGTTAATAAAAAACACACAGAAATCTTCATTATCACAGCATTAATATGGAACCGTTTACAATGCCGCAACCATCACGTTGCGCACAGAGAGTGTGAGGGAGGAGAGGAGAGCTGCATTGCTTTGCATATCCCAAGACCTGTTAGCACTTTTGCTTCGCTGAGTTTATGTGTTTCAAAGCCAGAACCTGACTGTCTAACTTGCACGGGAGCCTTTATGCAAATGCAGAGGTCACAGGCAGAGAAACTTTGCAGGCTGCGCCTTGCACTGGCGCGTTTTCGAGCATATATCAAGGCTTATTCGGTTTTTCAGCGTGTGCAAATGCGCGTGCGTATGTTGTTATGTGCGAGAGAGGGAGGAGACAGAGCCCCCTACACGGGCAACACAAAAAATAACTGTAAAAACTGTTCCATATTTTATCAGAGCGGTTATTTTAAAATTGTTTTAAAAGAAAAGAGAAGAAAGAAATCTGTAGACGAGCTGTTTTTCTTCAATTTCTTCTATTAATTGACTTAAATATAATCATAAAAATCCCATAAGCTCCATCAGGAGTTAATGTGTGTAAAATGTATGTGGATGTATGAATCAGCTTGATCCCTACATACAAAATGCTGACAATCACTCTATAATGACTTTTGATCTGCAGGTAAAGACACCAGGCCAACTGATAAGTTTCAGCTCACCTTCCCGCTGAGAACCAACTACATGTACGCCAAAGCCAAGAGGAGCCTTCCTGAGATGTACTCCTTCAGTGTGTGTCTGTGGATCAAGTCCAACGCCTCTCCTGGGGTGGGGACACCCTTCTCCTACGCTGTCCCGGGTCAGTCCAATGAGCTAGTGCTGATCGAGTGGGGGAACAACCCTATGGAGATTCTCATCAATGACAAGGTAAATGAAAAGTGATTATCATGGATAAGGAATGATTTCCTCCTTTTCTTTTCCTTGCAGGGTGGCTTTTTGCTTTTACATGTATCATGTGAATATGCAGCACAACTTACACTGGGTGCAACAGTAAGAAAAAGTGACACTACGTTGTGCTTTGATGACTCAGAGTAACCTATCAACCTCTCTGTGCCAGAATAGAAAATGGAATAACAATAGGTGAGAAAAGGAGGGTCTTTTTATAGATGAAAGGATACGTGACAGGGGAAGTGATTCAGCAGGAGGAAGAGAAGGTGTGGAAGCGATGAGTTTCCAGGCAGGGAGTGACTCTGCTACTTAAGTGTGAAAGAAAGATTGTTAACTGGAGAGAAAGACGTGATTTTTGCAACATCTCTGCCACAGGTCGCAAAGTTGCCGTTCCTCATCAACGATGGAAAATGGCATCACCTCTGCATCACGTGGACCACCCGTGACGGGATGTGGGAAGCCTTCCAGGACGGAGTGATGCGGGGCAGTGGAGAGAATCTGGCACCGTACCATCCCATCAAACCAGAGGGAGTGCTGGTCCTGGGACAAGAGCAGGTGGATATTTATTTTCACAACAGTGATTGCAACTCCTGCACTGTGATCCTGGTACACGTTTGCATTTAATTTAAAACAAAGATAAAAGGTGGGGATGTTTATGAAATGAAATTGTGGAGACATTGACGAGATGGTCAGTTAACACACTCAGAACCCATTTATGTTCCAAACGAAGAATATTGTAATGGTAGATTTCTACTCTAAATGCAAAAATAATTTAGATTATTGATTTTTCTTGAATGATTAACTAAGTAATCTGTTTGTCATCACTACTCAAAATAACCCCAATGTCTGAAGTATCTCCACAAAGCAATATGTAGAAAATCTCCTGAGATGAATATTCTATGCATTAAAATATGATTTTATTATTAGAAAATCCAATCAGAACAGTGCTTCCCTATTTAAACAGGATTTCTATATTCATTTTCTGGTGACACTCAGATCCCCTGTCCGTGGATAGATATTTAAAAAAAATCCTGAGTAAAAGCTATAAATCTTTCATGTAATATTATCACATGTATACATTTCTTAACACCTCATGTTTACTTTAAATACAGCTTAAACACAAATTATGCACTTTAACAGTGTGATTCATAGACTGAACCTTGCCCTTCCTCCTTGCCTCATGGTCAGCCATGCTTGTTAAAAAAGGGGGTGTGGTTCTACTGCAGTCCACTTTAGATGATGTAGAAAACGGCAAGTGCTTCATTAGTTTGACGGGCAGAAAATCATTTTGTTGCACAGAGCAAGTCATGTCCGCTATGAAGAGACCCAGATATACTCAAGCATTTGAGTTAAATAAATTCATGCCATACATGCTTACAGAAGGTCAGACAGAAGTTCTGCAAAATAAAGATAATCTCTTAGCTCCAATGTCACATTTTTGCTCTGTTAAACTAGAGACAGCCATCTAAACCCAGGATTAAAACATATCTAAGAACAAAAGTTCTCTCAGGTGATGTCATTTATAACAAAATCTTATCATATATGATCTCATGCCCCAACTGACATTAACTCAAGGTTCCTTCTCTGATCAGATACCCAACACTGTAATCAAAGCTTTCATGTGCACTCATAACACTGAGAATTAACTCTTGTCTGCGTTGTTCCATAGGACACTTTGGGAGGAGGTTTTGACGCAACACAAGCTTTCGTCGGTGAACTAGCAAACTTAAATATCTGGAATAGGAAACTTTCTATCGCTGAGATCTACAACTTGGCCACCTGCAACAGCAAAGCACCGGCTGGCAACGTGTTCTCCTGGACAGAGAGCAACATCGAAATATTTGGTGGAGCGACCAAATGGACCTTCGAGCCATGCCGTTCACTCAACTGAACTGCATTTCACCGTTCAAGAGAGGCCTCTCTGTATTTCTGAGCTTTTGTCGTTCTTGTCTTCATTTGACGTTTGTTAGAGACTATTTGAGTTATTGGTAAGCTTAAATCTGGGATTTCTTTCATTCTTAGGTATTTATGTGCAAAACAACACTTCATCTTGAGGAAAAAAAAAATCTAATTCGTCTTGGAAACCTCAGTGAGAAAGTATTGGTATCTGTTTCTCCTTTGTTTTCTCGGACGTTCAGTTCAAAGCACACCTAAGCTTTTCGTTTGGCTTATTTCGTCTTGGACTGGCAGCTGGCAATCTGCGCCTTATGTCTGGACAATTCACAATCCAAGTGAGGAATTACATAACCGCTCCCACCCCCATCTCCCTGGAAAGTGGGAGATTACGCTGTCCATCCAATTCTTGTCAGTGTTTGGCGCTGTGAAGTGATGTCTGACGCGGTACAGCTCCCTGCGAACCCCCCCCCCCCCCCCCCCCCCCCCCCCCCCCCCCCCCCCCCCCCCCCCCACCCCCCCCCCCCCCCCCCCCCCCCCCCCCCCCCCCCCCCCCCCCACCCCCAACAACACCATCATCCCCTTGTTCTCCTTCACTCTGCCCCACCCCTCCGGAACTTGCACTGTGACTGACGAAGAGATTGCCAGGAGAGGAGGGTATGTTGAAGGACATTGCAAAGTCAGACTGTGGTACAAGTCAATTTGTAATCGTTGTTCGCTTCAAGTATTTCTGTAAGAATGTCGTTAACTTGCCAACATTGCTACAAAGCCTGGGTGCCTTGGGCTGGTACAAATATTCAGCACATTCAGTATGTTTTCATTTGCAAATTCAATGTTTATTGGTTTCTGTTTTCTTTCCTGAGCTGGGTTGAGTTTCTTGTTTCTCTGGTAAATGTAATTTAATTACAGTTTGTTATCTGACATGACGTGTTTTGGCAGGTGTTTGTACTACTCTGTATTAGGAATGTTACAGTATGTGTATAGTAACAGCATGAATGACAGAGTGCTGTGAAAGCATTGTTGAAATCTGCTTTACTATCTTCTCTGGGTCTGGGTTTTTTACTGTATTGTTATATGCTCCAAGCATGGCAAAACTGAGAGATGAAGAAATTTAATTTTTGTAATAAAATTGTGATACTTAATGTCACAGTGCATTCCTGGCTTTGGTTATGTGCATGGAAATACGAGGGAAGAGAGGGGAGGGAAGGGAATGCGGAGCGAGTGGGTGCAGGAGAGAGAATCACTGATTAGATATAACAGTCTCACCGTGGTCAAACAGTAAAGAGGGGAAGCTAATTGCCAGAAAAGTGAAATGCCCAAAGTCAGTGAAGGTCACAGGGAGGGCACTTGAGAAAAGAAATGAAACTGCGTGGGTGTCTATGTGTTTTTGCGCTGACTCTTTTTTGAGCTGACTGCAGAAGATAACCCACTCGCTGCTTTGTTGTTGCTGCTGTGAGGTGCAGTGCCTGCACTAAAGACAGCGAGGCTGTCGGAGGAGAAAAGTGCTTAGTCATATCGGCTTTTCAATGGCCTAGTTCAAGAGAGTGCAGCCTAAACTAAAACTACAGCACTTTAAGCTTGACTTTCAGTATCAGTTCACCCAGATGACCTGTTGCTGTAGCACCAAACATTTACATCCCAGAGATGCGACTATTGACAGTTCTTGCATTTAAATGAACCACCATCACTTACTCAAGTGGTGATAGCGAAAACATCTGAGTCAAATTCTTTCTCCTGCTATTTGAACACATTTTCTTTAAAACCACAAGACATTTAAGAACAGCTCCTCACAGTAGGCAGCTGTTATCTTTGTTTTTCAACACGAATTTACTTTTTTAAGAAAACCTCTAGGTCCTGAAATGTTTATCACGCTATGTCGTGCTGAATAATTTCTGCGTATATACACCACATTTTGTCTTATTATCACATTCTGTTTTATCTAAAGAGGTTCAACTCCACCGGGTTCTGCTTATGAATAAATTCAATGAGCTTTGACTGAGATATTACTGGGGAAACATGAAGGTGTAGGTCTTCACAGGTTTCTAATTTTTGCCTTTCTGTGGGAATGTTTACATACAAACTGAACTTTCAACTGCCTACAGGACTTCAGCTTAGAACTACACTTTTAAGCTTTTAACTCTTACACTTCAACAGACACGTCAAGCCTTTTTCAGTGTCTCAAATTCAACTGACAGTTTAACTGCTTAAGCTGCTCTTAAGGTAGACCCGGAAGTGGACATTGTTGAGCTCAGGAAAGATTACATCACTGACATTTAAAATGCTTTCAACAATAATTCAGTTGCCTTTAGCACTTCTGTTTCAACTCAGCTACTTTCACCATCTACATGTCTGACACCTCAACTGGTTTTCATTCTTTGCTGATGGCACACCTGCTGCCACTGCCTGCATTTCAACGGAGACTTTAACTGTTAACGGTACTCATACTTAAACTAAAATTTTGATTGATTTCGTTGATTACAACCTAGACTGTATATAAAGATGGACAACATGACAGCTTCCCGAAAAAGGAAGCCATAACATGTGGATCGCCCTGTGGTGGCTGGCTGTAGTATAGGTCATAAAGCCAGCCCTGTCCATGTAAGCGGATGGGACATGAGCCAAACTAAAAACTCCAACTACAGGTCAAATACATTTTTCCCAAAAATGGTTTCTGTCTTTTTTAGGTAGTTCTTATCACGCTGCTGTATGTTCAAGTGTTAGTTTTTCTGATAAATTTTTGTCAATCAGTTATTTAACACTATAAAAAGGGGTTTTGATTGACAGCTGTGTGTGCTACCCGGTGTGCTCTCTATCAGTGGCATTGCCCGTGATTGGTTGGACAGGTATGCAGGTGGGAACTGGATACCGTGGAGATCACTACTGCGCAGACTCTGGCTCCAAATGACGTCACCAGCACAAGATGGCAGGGGCCGTATCCTGGATATTTTGGCTTCATTTTTGTACGGTGGGAGGAAGTGGAGACGTGTCGTCCATCTTAATATACAGTCTATGGTTTACAGTTCATTCAGCATTGTAGTTACTCTCATTTCTGCAACGTATCCTCATACAACAGCTTGTATGATATCCCACAAAAAGTGGGCACACAACGGGTGTGATGTTATGTAGGCCTATTTAACATAAAGTTACAGAGGTTAGATTTAGCCAAGTAAAGTTACTGTCCAGCAACCACCGACTTTCACCCATGAGACCGGTGTTCACCTCCCTTTTGACTGCTAAGCCAAACCTTGTTTTTTTTACCTAAACCCAACCACATGCGTGTGGTGTAACTACGTGTGTTTATTGTTGAAGAAAAAAAAAAGAAACATTAATTAGCAGTGTTGTACTGACGTAGTGCATTTATTTTGAAAGAGACTGTGTGCAAACTGTACATTTCCTGTGATAACAGAGATGTATTTTGAAATCTTACAATGCATGTAATAGACTAAAGTTAACGTGGCATCTCAGAAGGTCAACAACCAATGCACCCGAGGTGATTTGCACGTCATACCTGGATGTGGAAAGTCCAAACGTCGATATCTGATGAGGTCGGAGTGAGAATGTGTTGGACATTTTCCTTGCTTTCAGCCTTTACTCTTTAACATTAATTTCAACTATTTTCAGTGTTTACACGCACCACTGACAATTCAGCTGCCTGCACGGCTTAACTTGAAACTAAAATTTCAATAGCTTTCAGCCCTCAAACTTAAACAGGCACTTCAAAATCAACGGACATTTCAACTGTTATAAGTTCTTCAACTTAAACTGCAACTCTGAAGTTCCACTCCTCCATGTGGTTAGCCCATGAATAAATTCACTGAGCCTCGACTTAAACATTATTGAGGAAAGACAAAGTTGTAGGTCCTTGCAGGGATCTCTGCTCAAAATATGTTGATCTTAAGCTTGACCTTGAAGTGGATTTTCTTCAGCTGAGTGATAGTCTGCATCACCTTAATCTCACATGATGCACAACAGCCAGTAGCCAGGGTCAAGAGCATTTTATAAGAATGAAAAAGCATTAACACAAGGCATCAATACAATTTCTGTGGCGGCATTAAACACAAACACACAGAGGCAGAAAACAATTTATTCTGTCCCTTAGCCATGTTGGCAGATGGATCCCAAAACACTTGCATATATCAGCCAATTACATTTATAGAAAATACCGGGACAGCTGAAAGATGACTGTTGGTGTTGGCTAAAGAGACATTGTCGAAGAATTTTCAGACCATACTCATGATTCATCATAAAGTTTTGAATAGAAAAGTACATGCTAAAAGTCTTTTAAACAAGATGTTTAACTGTTTTGATAAACGTTGTGTTACCATATCACAAAGGAATCCTATATTGTCATATAACACTTTGAGACCAGCAGTTTATTCTACGACTGCTTCAGCCTGGAAGCGGATGAACCATGGCCAGATAATCCTGCCACTTAATTTGATGCCACCACACACAACACCTGACAATGGCCACACACTCATAATTATTAGGTCTGCCTGCAACACTCAGCTAATCCCCTCCTGGTAAAGAACTGCTAATCCCTAACGTAACATGTTTCTGCAGTGCAAATGCATTTGTGCTACAGACACTGCTTTGTGAAGAAGCTAATGGACTAAAGTAGATCCAGGCAGCCTAACAGATGATATTACACTTAATATATATAACAAACAAAGATCAAGCCTCCTCTTTCTCAAAGAACTTTGACTGACAACACTACATGATGAAATATTGTACTTACCCCCCCTTTTTGCTGGCACAGAAATAAATTGATTACATTGTAATTGCTCCATAAAGCCTTGATGTAAGCACTAAGAACTGAAGGACTGAAGGACACAGAGTACAGAACAGCTTCTGGAGAGTGGAAAGTACTTTTGTGCGCCTAAGGTACAGTACATTATGTAATGTTTCGCTGGCAGAGCATTATATTCTGGGGCAACTCCTCACCTGGCAATGTAAACAGATGTTGTGGTTCGTACTGGAGATAAGAAGGTGTTCTAGTTTGTTTTTTAAGACATCACCCTCTATCTTAAGGAAAAGCTCTCAACAAGACTTGGAGTCTACAGCCGTGCTAGTGGCTCTGGGAGAGTCCAGCTACTTATGCACAGTGGTGCTTTGAGCTTTATGCTAACGTCAGCAAGATAACATGGGTCCATGTCATTGGTTCGACAGCCCATTGGATCGACATCCCATTAGTCCGACTGTCCGCGGTGCTGAACGGCTCACAGCGGGCGTATGGTGCGCCGCGACCGGCTTGAGGCGGAGCAGGCTCACGGCTTATGTGTTTGTCACTTTCTTTTTCATTTTAACCCACACCATGATCTTTTCCTGACCCTAACCAAGTGGTTTTTGTGCCTAAACCTAACCAAAACTTAACCACAGGGCATCATGATGATTTCAGAACGGACTTCGGAACAATGAGTTTAATATGGTCGGAACAATGGGATGTTGAACCAATGGGCTGTCGAACCAAT